CTTTCATAGCTGTTGAGTTGGGACAAAAGATTTAGGAGGTGAAGGAACTCTGACAAAGAATGCAGTCAGGAGGATGTGAAGGAGAAGGGGCTGTGTTTGTGTTCTTTGGAGGAACTTAAACTTTCTCTCCACTGCTTCCAATGCTTTTCTGTCCAGAGCTCAAAATTCAGGAGCATTGTGCAGCCCAGAAATCTGAGGTTTTATGCTGGATGTCCTGTTCCTTCCCTGGAAGCTTGTTTAGTGTTCCATTTCTGGGTAAATGGATGTCCTGTTCTGAGCTTTTCTTCCCTGAGAAGACTGAAGACAAGTTCTTATCAAAATCATTCATAAAGTTTTCTCTCAAGTAAGGAGTATGCTCTGAACTCAGCAGATACCCAAACATTTCTGGATTGTGGAAAGTACTGAAAAAAGGTTTTAAAGTACTTGGTCTTATGGATTTCTTTTGAAATTTTTAAGAACATATATACCTCTATGTGTGTATGTTATACGTATGCATGTGGGTGTGTATGTCTCCTTACTTAAGCACGGATAAGATAGTGAATAAGCAACCACTAGTGGAGTGTTAAATTTATTAAACAAGGCAGCTGGGGTAGCTCTAAGGCTGTGGTGGCCCAGGTAAGAAAACCGAAATCTAAACCTGCCAATGCCTCAATGTAACACAGTTGAAACCTAAGGATAACCAATCAAAACAGCCAGCTGGCCTCTAGCGATGGCCAATCAATAATTTCCTTCTTTTCCTTCTGTCTTACTCTACAAAAGCCTCTCCAGCTCCTGTCCATGGAACATTCCTAACCGCTTCCAGTTTGGCACTGTCCGATTTTAATCAATTTTTGCCCAAATAAACTCTTTAAATTTTTAATATGCCTCACTTTATCTTTTAAGAAGAGGTTTGTAACCATAAAGAGTGCTGCCAATTTTATCACAGCTCTATTTATCCTTTCATTATGTTCATTGATACCTGCTGGGTATATATGAAATACTCTGTTATGACATCTAAGACTGACGTTCAAGCATATTTCTGAAGAGTCGATCACTTAATATTTTTTATGACTCTCAAGTAACCTAATTTAGTCAAAACACTTAAAATATAGAATTAGGGGAGAAAGATTTGCAAAGTGTAAAGGGTAAATTTAAAATTTCTGACTGAGAGCTCTTTCTGTTGATAACACTTGCAGAATGTTAAGTATACTAACTGCTATAGGCACGTGTGGGCTGTCAGCCACCACTGTAGACCACTAGCAATGGTGAAGGCGCTGGTGGGGATTGATCTGAATTTGTTCTGCCTATAGCACAACTTTCTATAAGCTACATTTTTCAATGAATGCCAATGCCATCATGTCTACTATTCACCTCTTCTCTGAGCTTTTAAGTAGAGTTTTAGACATTCCATTTAATCAATAACTGCTTGTAGCTTCATTGTATATAGAATGAGTAGTCCGAATTATACCAGAGAAGTAGTGCGTGGTAGTCAAATTCATGCACATGTTCTTGGTGTTCACTGCTGGAGACAATGAAGAGGTCTTTACTTGTGATATCAATTGTATGATCATCCCATTTATGATGTTACAAGTATGCTGTCTTTGAATCACATTCACTTAGTGCATGGGCTCTAAGGAGGCCTTTCTCTAACGATGATGAATTCCTACTGACCCAAGCATTCTTTCTGAGTCTTTTTGTGTGCCCAAGAATTTTCATTTATAGGCCAAAAGTAAACTGGGCCATGGAAATATCATGAGAGTATTTTTTAAACCTAAGCTGAGTTACCCAGTTTTTGTTTTTAATTTGTTACTATGTGTGTGTGATGGGGAGGGAGTATAAAACTTAATAAGAAAAGAAGTATACAATTAATCACATTTAGTTTTGCATTTAATTAATTCCCCTTTTGAAAAGAAAACAAATACATGAAATCAAGATAGGCCCAGAAAATTTAAGACATCTCTGATTTCTGACTTCTTTCTGAACCCCAGTATGTATTTCAGCTCCATCTTGATGAACTTCAGGCATCTCAAATTCAGCATGTCCAAGAGCAAATTCCTGATCTTTCTCAGACCTTCACCTGTATTCCTCTTCTTGGTCTCTGATGTACTTCCCAAGTTGGAGTCTTCCTGGTCTCCCCACTCTCCTCCATCGTAGCAAGTCAGCCCCACTTGTGTCCTATCAACTTGCTCTGTCAAGTGACTCCTTGCTTTTCCTTCCCCTCCAGTGTTTTGACTTCATTCAAGCCTCATCATTTCTCCCAAGCAAATTCTACCCAGATCTGTTTCCTCTGGCCAACAATATAAAGTTCACATCCTGGCTTTGTATACATGTTCCTTCTTTATCCATTCTTGCCCAGCATTAACCCCAACCCCACTACATCTATGTTCACGTGAAGTCCTTTTCACATTCCATGCCAGCCTTTGAAATGGCAGCCCTGCCTTCTCAGCTGAGCAAGTATTGATTCACTGTTTAATAACTGGCAAAATGTTGCCTTCTTTGGGCACAGTCTCTGACCCCACCTACTGAGTTAGTTACTGTGTCCACATAGGTGACATCCTTACCCCTCTCGAATAGGGTAATTATCTGCTTGTCTGTTTCTCTCTAGAGACTATAATCTCATGAAGGACAAGGATGTGTCTTCATCATATATTTCTAGCAATCAGTCAAGTGTCTGGTAAACAGTAGGAGCTCAGATGTTTGCTGAATAAATGAGTGAGTGAATGAGAGAATTGAACTTAGGCCCTAGGGTATCGTAATAGCATGTTCTAAGCAACTGAGGCGCTTCGCCTCAAACAGGGACTATTTGCAATAGTACATGACTTCAGTGAATATTAGGGGATCTAGTCTTACTCTCGGATGTGTGCGGTTTTGGTCACTCAGTATTTCTTCTCAGTGTTTTCTCTTCTGCATTCCTCAAGGTGCTCCCCTCCTGGCCTGCCCCCACACACAACCCAGATTTTCTCCTTAGTGTTACCTCCTTTATTAACAGCCTTCCTTGAATGATGGCAGAATTTTGACCATCACCACCCAAATTGTCAGGCTCAACCCTTACTGTCCCTTCCCCTCAGGCCTGGTGTCAGCACACCACAGTTCTTATTCTTCTAAGTGATGCCCAGCAAAGATCTCTACTGATAAAAGCAATGGGGCCCATTTCTCTTTACAAACCTCTCAATCACTACCTCCTCTATCCCTGCCAGATAATATCATCTGACAGTGGAGTCCACCACAGCATTTTGGGCTGACTGCTCTGTGTTGCCCATTCAGAAGGCAGCTTCATGTCCCCCGTGAACGCAGTCTGTATGCAGACAAAAGAACAGGAAGCCCTAGCAGCCGGGCTGCACTGTTCTCCTCTGCCAGCCAGGCCGCCGAGCCCGGGGTTGGGGGTCAGGTGAAAGGCAGCCCTCAGAGCATCTCGGCCTGACTAGTCTGGCGGTCTTACTTCCTCCAGGTGAGCTGATGAGAGGGAAGCCTCTCACACTCAAGGAGAGTGCGAGATAAGCTGACGGCAAATTCTCCTGTTAAAATTAAGTGCAGTAAATTCATTGTGTGACATGATAAAGTTTGATAAATAAGGAGCTTTGGAGGTGGGAATCTCTTGAGGTGGAAAACAGTAAACTTAAAAGCCCCTGTGAAAACTACCCATAGATTGGGAGGTAGCTGCTTATTAGCATTATAAGATATTTACAGTGTGGAATGTGAATGGATCTGTCTTCTCCCTGTGCTCCACCACACATTTGTTTGTTTTGTGTGCTTTTTTAAAAAAATCATAGCACCATGTTTTGTGCTTCTGTGCAGATTATCCTATTACTCTTTGACACTCTTTGGACACCTGAAAGATTTGGAAGAGCTTTGATGCTCTTTTTTATAATAGAGCCTTGGAAATCACTTAAGAAGAGTTTATGTTTGATAAAGTGTTAGCATCTATGAGAAGCTAATTTTAACTACGCCTTTCTAACTAAATATTTAGAAGTTTGTTTTTAATCATACGGTTACTTCAGTGATATAATTTCCTTAATCCCATGCTTACTAGATCTATAACTGTTTAAGCAAGAGTGAATCTGCAGTTCGTTTGCCCCACCCATAACATTCACTACTAAGAACCCATCCCTTTCTCTATATAGCTTTGTTCACAATCCCTCAGCATTTATCATTCCAATAGCACTATGCCTGCAAGCCACAGAAGTTCTAAATGAAGTCAAAGTTATAGAGTTGGACCTTCAAGGGGTTTGGGAATCAATGGGAGGGAAGCCTTATGAAAGGGAAAATGGAGTAACAGGGAGTGGCACATGGCCATGATGAACTATGGAGGGTGCCATATGGTGTCAGAATAAGACCGGCATACCAGTGCTGCAGCTGTGGGGAGCCTTGGTCTGTCTTGAGGTGGAGGCAATGGCTCCTCTTCCCTGCCAGAGGGCTGGAGGGCTGGCTGTATGGGGTACAGAAGAAGGATCCAAGGAGTAAAAATAGCCCTGGGATTGAGGGGAGATATGATACAACTACTGATTGCCCCACGTTAGAACTTGAGCACAGTAATGTCTTCAGAGGGCTACATGTGACTCCTTGAGATGGAGACCAGAAGAGAAAAAGATCTATGTTTGGTTCTTCCTCATTCAGCCACTTCACCCCAAATTCACTTCTGAGACCCCAACCAAGACATTACATTGTCTGTATATCTGTATCTGTATGCCAACACCAGTGCCCATATCATCTATAGACATAGGTATACAGATATACTAAGTCACATTTTTAAACAAGGTGAAGAATACTTGGGTGCAGATGCCCATAAACTATTTCCAGCATATTTAGAATTTGTTTTAACCTAAAGTTGTGGAGACAGACTTGAAGAGAGACATCCCCAACCTTGCTAAAATGTAAGTACAAAAAGGCACAAATTGGATGGATATTGATGATGTTATTTCTACTGTGACATCATCCATAGACTCCTAGTGTCTTTGCTTTGCTTCCCTAAAGTGATCACAACATAAATTACTTGTCTTGTTTGACTTCCTTGTTCACCAAAGTTGAGCAGATTGTGGCCGTTTTCAACGCTTCTACCAGACAAAAAGCTTGGGACCATTTCTCGAAAGCTCAGCGCAAGAACATAGACATTTGGCGAAAGCATTCTGAGGTTGGTGATTTTATTATTACTTTTTAAACACCATCACACAGCTGGATTGGCAGAGAATAGTGTGGCTGCAGCCATTATGGTTTTTGTTACAGTGGGCAGTCATAGTGCCATTGTCCTGTCTCATTGTCACCTCCAAATCCAGCTCAGATTTGTTCCTCACCTAGAAAGCAGCTGACTTCATGCTTAGAGGGCAGAATGCTTTTCTCCCCTGCAAAGGGAGAAAAGAATGTCTTCCATTCACAGTAAAGAACTCAGAAATAAACCAAGACACTTTGTCTAGTGATTATGAAGTAAAATGTAACATAAAACAGAAAACTAGCTTTTAATAAATATAGAGGTTTTTTTGTTTTGTGTTTTTTTGTTTTTTTACCGTTCTACAACATGATGATGGCAATTTGTTTTTTGGGCTAGAAATGACAAGTTTGCCTTTCATCAACATTTTCTCATTATTAGCAATGCCTCAGTCCCCTTTGCTAGCCAGTAAGTTATATCACACCTCTCCTAGAACAAAATTCCTCAGGGGAGTGAACAGCCAGGCTAGCCAAGTCTACCCTTCTGCATCAATGCATGTGTAAAGTGTGAGTATTGACCCCAAGGAAAGAGTCCAGAACTTGACCTTCTTTGCCACCTAGAAGGGCCAGAATATGTCATTAGTCATTTGTCGTCGGCTATTATTTTTAACTCTACAGTGTAGTGTACGCTTTGAACCTGTGATTTAAAAGTAAGTATACTGTCTTTGTTTGCTTCTTCTTTTCTTCAAATGAGAGAATGTTCTTCATGTGGATGCCTCTCCATCTCTAGCATGTTGCTATCAGAGTTCTCTAAATGATATTCCCCTCTTTCAAAATCCCAAACTTATAGAAGGTAAGGTTTATTTATTAAATGATTTTGGCTCACACTTGTAAAATAAGTGTTTTATATAGAATTTGAAGAACCACAAAGTACCGTAATATCAATCATTTGGGTAGCATTTTAAGTGCCCATTAACTAATGTTAAATTACAGTTGAATACCAATGGTGCTAGATGTAATATCCACATGAATACCAAATGAATTCTTTATTATCACTGTTATTACGGCAAATACTGAATGACTTCACAATAATGGGACACTTAAAGTGCTAGTGCAATTTATTGTTAAGAAAGACATTTTTTAGTTTGTTCACAAATGCCTGAGCAGGTGGCTGGTGAGTGATGCAGCTCTGTCCCTTTGTTCAGGATTATGAGGGAGGAGGAGGTGGGATTTCTCTTTAATTTTTCAAGGGCCAGAAAAACAAAGGATGCTTCCCTAGTGATCTCAGGCACTGAATCCACGCCAGAGTCAAGGTTGATTTTCAGGAGGAAAGAGCCCTTTGTAATGATGAAATATACAAATTGAGGGTTATGAAACACAAATCAGTATCCACAAACTATGATTCAGAATCAAGAATAATCTGTGAATTGTTTATTTTTTTCTTCATGTAAAAACCAAACATGATTAAAATAAATATAAAGGGGGCCCCAAAAAACAGAATTTCTTTATAAAAATTTGTGTATTTATTCTTACATGTTTCAACTTCAGCCACCATCTCCATTTGATGCAATACACCTATCAAGACTTTTTCCACTGCTCAAAAGAGTTTGGAACTCGATCTTGATGCTTTTTAGTGTTTCAGCTGTTTGGTCTTTTTTTGTTTGTTTGTTTGTTTGTTTGTTTCACCCCTTCCCCAGCCACTTTCACAAAACATTTCTCTTTGAGGACTTTTTTCATCTAGGGACACAAAACAAAGTTGTTCAGAACAAGATCAATTGAATAGGGAGGCTGGGGCATAGGGGTCATGCCATTTGTGGTCAAAAACTGCTCATCATTAAATGGGCAAATTGCCTTAAAGGAGTCTTCAAAAAAAAAAAAACTTCACTAAAGCTGAACACGTTCTCTCACAACAATGCCAATTGGTACAATTGGTGCATTGATACAATTGGGTTCCTAGAACACTCACCTAGCGGAGGAAGCCTGTACTACAAGGGGCTTGCCCTCCAGAAGATAATTATGTTTCTTGGCGGAGGAGGTTCCCCCTTGTATTAAGAGAAAGAAGGTGGCATGATGGTGAGTAAACCTGTGCATAAAAAGGCTGTCTGTAGTAGGTGAGCATCAGCAAATAGCAAATATTGATTTAAGTCACACTTCCTGCCATGCCTGGCCCCGTTCTGCTGGCCTCCCATGCTGGTGCCAGGGCTGTCCTCCCCAGTGCTGAGCAGGACATGCAGGGCTACCAGCTTTCCTGGTTTGTTCCAAGGAAGCCTGCGTGCTTGCTCCTGCTGAGAGGTAGAAATGGATGAGGTCCTGAGAGATGCTCCTGGAAAGGGTCTTTATGACTCCCTGTCACTGCCACCACCTGTTTTGATATACTAGGACATAGAATTCTAAATTACTTTTGATTTTCTCTCCTACATGTCACTTAATTGATTAAGTACCAGTTGGTAATTTAACATTGTAGATGATTTCTCAGTTGCATAAGCTTGATAATTGGCTTGATTTTTTTCTGTGTTCCCATGTACAGCACCTGTTAATTATCTGCAACACCTTAACAGATTTATTAGATAGTACTAGCGATTTACTGTTGAACCAGAGGCACCCTGCGGAAACACCTTCAGCTTTTTTTTCGCCTCCCATTTTTTTTTCCTTTCTGCTGCCCTTTCCACAAGAGCAGCTACTGTATGGCAGTTTGTCACTAATTGCAGGGACTAAACAACAGGCTCTTTCAGCCTCATTTATTCTTTGCACCTGACTTTTCCTTGTTTTAAGTATTTTCAGTGCACCGCTTTGGGAACTGGGCCTTTTTACAGGAAAACTAGCTGTCCACAACCTAAAAACTTCCCCACTAATCACACTTGATATCCACCTCTGATACCCAATGGTATCATTTAAGGCAGGATTGGCCCCTCTTTCTACTGGGTGCCATGGTCATGCAAGGAGACGTAAGCCATCAGCCACATGACCTTTCAAGATTGCCCTGTGATGGGTGTCCCTGTCCCAGGGACCTTGCCTCTCTGCCTGCCCCTCTCCCTGGCCCTCTCCCTGTCCCCTGTAATGGTCATTCCCAGGGTTCAGAGTTGACCGTGCAACTACTGTTAGCAATAAATGCTTGCCTTTCTGTCAGACTACAGTTAAAACCTGTGTGCTATGCAGAGGGACAATTGGGAGAACCTGTAACTCAGGCTAATACATACACATGGATTGAATGGACCCTAGAACTACGCTTCAAGTTGCACCCTTAATACGTTAGGCATTGTAACTTACTTTCATTGCTACTCAAAGGTTTATTTATTATAAAGTGAAATAACTTTAACTATTTGATTTTTATTTAGAGACTTCAATTTAAATGAGGTTAAAAAAAGGAAAAGCAGTCCTTTCTCTCTCTTTTATTTTTTAGGACAATACATATAAGAGAACAGAATGGATAAGGATTTACAAATATATAATATGTAAATTGATACATATAATAATATCATTATTTAACAAATGATTACAGTGTGCTGATTTTAGACATAGCTGTAAAACAATTTATTCTGGAATTCTTTACTTTTTATGAGTTTTTGCATGCATGCTTGCATTCAAACAGCCTTTATTATTGTACTACTCTTCCCCATTTATGTGTGAGTTGACAAAGGCTGAAAGAAATTAAATGCCTTGACTACAGTCACTCCTCTAATAGGTGGAGAACATAAGATATGATCCCAAGATCTTAAAGTGATGCTAAAACAACCATCCCAACAAAAACAATAAACTCTGTACAATAATGTGAAATCCCAGGGGAAAAAAAAGGCATCTGTTTTTTTATTTTGTCCTCCAACACTTTTTTAACTTTGCCATTTGGATATCTGAAAGGGGTGTGTGTATGTGTGTGTGTGTGTGTTGATCACACATGGGCACATGGTCTCACGCAGGAGCACTATTTTGCATGAATAGTGCAGTCTACATTTTCAACTTGGGAAACCAAGTGCCTAGCATGATACTAAGTATCTAACATGCATTAAACTTATTTTATTCTCAAAATTATGATCATCACAATATTTCAGTTAGTAAATTGAGTCTAAGAGAGATGAAGAAACATTCCTAAAGCTACACAGTGGGTCAGTGGCAGACCAGGCCTTTTAAAAGTTCTCTTGCTTATGTTCCTAATCCTTAGCTGGGAGCCCCTCGTATGTGCCAGGCATGGTGATAGGTATTTCTATGTAATCCTCACAAGAGCCCTACTAGGTGAATGTTATTATCTCCTTTTCTACAAATGTGGAAATTGATACTTGAGAGATGAATAATTTGCTGAGGAGCCCTTGACTAGTCATTGATGAGCAGGAATTTATCCTAAGCCTGCTACCAGAGTCCTGTCTTTCCACACCCCCGTCCCACACCCCCGCCCCTGCCTCCTACACTCCTTAGAACTTTGTCCTAGAGTAGGTGGGGCAATCTTTGGAAGGGAAAAACTGCAGATTCTAAGTGCTCATATGTCAGCCGTAATACACTAAAAGACCACGGGGAAAAGTGAATGACATCCGTGTATTCTTAACTTTCAGGAGCTCCGGAATGCTCAAAGTGAACAACTCATGGGCATCCGCCGTGAAGAAGAAATGGAAATGTCAGATGATGAGAATTGTGACAGCCCCACTAAAAAAATGAGAGTTGATGAATCAGGTAATGCTGGTAACTGTCACTTACCCATGAGGAGTTGTAAGGATCTTCCTAATCTCAGGTGTGGCATATATATTGGGAAATGACCACATAAGTCATACTTATTTGAGTTATACTAAAATTTCATCTCTGAGTGACTCTGCCTTTTATAAATAGAACTTTAAATCCCTTCTTAGGAACACAGTAATTCAAATCATTTCAGTTATTTCTTCATACACAGGTCTGGAGCCATTATTCTTTTTTTAAGGGATATCTGCCTATTCCCATAAAAATCCTTTTCCAGAGTATGGTAGCCACCGCTGATGCTGAAATATAGATAAAATCTAGTTTCAGTCAGTGTACTTCTAACCTGCAAATGGTTTAATCCTTAAAGAAGCTTTCTAGCCCCTGAGCCAGCATCCTGGAGAATTAGACTTATTTCCCATAAACTACTTTACCTAACCTGTAATCAAAGGGGTGGCCCATTTTGTAACAAGAAAGGGGCATCGCTCTTGATTTGTAAAAAGCAGAGAAATTCAGAATGAACCTTGGTTCATGTACCCTGTATTATCTGAGATGCTGATTTAAAACTCTGTCCTCGAATTATGTGTATATAAATCCCTTGGTGTTATAAAAGCAGGGCAGGGGAAGGCTCACTCACATACAGGAGACACCAAGGGAGGCTGCGTGTCAAGACGAAGGGTGTTGTCTGTAGGGAAGAACCACAATTGCCACTGTTGCCAAAAAGGACAATTGGAGGCATGACATAGATTTGATCTGTCTCCTCATATGTCCCAGTGAATAAAATACTCACCGGTCCAGAGATTTTTAACAGAAAGATTCAGGTGACCAGAAACAGAACCTTTGCTAATTTGCTGGTAGAAATCAAAATCAAGATTCCAAAAGGGCCAGCTCATCCAAGCTGCAAAAGGTCAGAATGCTCTGTTTCTCCAAGGCCCTCAGAGAGAATGCAGAGATGTAAGTGATCACCGCAAGCAAACCTCCTTTCCCCAGGTGTATCAGAAAGGGGCTTCATTTCCATAGAGCAGTGGTCCTCAAAAGTGTGGTCCTCAGTCTAGCAATATCAGCATCACCTAGGAACTGACTAGAAAAGTAAATTCTCAGGCCTTGCCCCAGACCTGCTGATTCAGAAACAGTCTCGGGAGGTGGAGTTGAGACCCCGCAATCCCTGATGTAAGTCCCCCAGGAAATTCGGTAATGTTTGAGAACCACTGCCTTAGAGGGTTTTCCTTTTATCCTCAAATGCCATTCATTTAAATCTTTTAGAGGCTTAGCATAAAAGAAAGCACCATGCCACTAGTTTTTGAAGCCACGTATCTTTTTTCTGAAAAATGAACCTGGCATTTATGTCACCATATGCCACCCCTTTAATTGATAGTGGATTTCTCAGGACTACTTGATTATTGGGTTTGGATATGCTTATGTGAGGAAACCACCTTACGCACAGCATTTCTATTCTGAAAACCTTCAAATATTAAAAGAAAAGAGCAAGTGTTAGCGTGATTTTCTTAAATTCAATGAAATCCTCCCATAAAAATATAATTTTTTTCTCAAAAAAGCTTTCATCATTTTTGAAGTTTCCAGATGAGAGATAGGTTCACATGAAACTTTTATCCTTAGCATCCTTAATAAGGTAGGTGTAGGAAAAAAAGAATTGAGTTAATCAGACATTTTTATTTGAACCTGTGGCTTTTGGGGCAGGCAAAGGGTGACTGCTTTTTAAACAACCTATCAATTTCCCAAGTAAGAAATGTGTTTAAATTCCATAGCCTGCTTAGGATAGGGCCAGACTAATGACTCAGAACAGTTGGCTCCCTAAGGGAATCTCACCGAGCAAGGCAGCTGGCGCGTACTGCCAGGTCCGGTCTGTGCTGCTGAAAATCCACAGAGGGGCAAAGGACCTCTCCGCTTTCCGGGCAACTTTGACTGAAGAGCCCTCTTCCAGGACCTCTCTTCACTTTCCCCAGGCCTCTGGAAGGCCTGAAGTGGGACCTGAACTTTCAGAAGCTTTCACCAGCCTTGTTAGTTGGTCATTGGAATTAATGAGAATAGCACAGTGCATGTTCTACACTGGGTGCTGAGGGAAAAGATGAAAGAGCTGGAGTTCAAATGCCAGGCCCCTGGGAGTACAAAGCTGTTTTGTACTTTTCAAAATGAGATGGACCAGAGAGCGTGGCTTATGAGGAAAGCTCAGGACTAATTAAAGAAAAAGGAAAGCAACTAACTTTTATTCCACCGGGCCCTGGAGATCCCTCCGAAAGGCAGCAACTGTTTTTCTTTCTGCCTGTATGTTGGGGACAGAGCCTGAGAGCAAGATCCACTCCTTGAAGTGCAGATGGAAGGCTGAGGCCCCACAACCTGAGGGGAAACACACCATGTGGTGCTAACTCGTTAGCACTGCAAAGGTGACACAGCAGTAATTTTAGGTACGAATTTGCAACTGTCAGCACCTGTGAGCAGGCCTCTCAACATGTAGCTCTAATTCACTGACAGGGGAATTGCCAAATGCTGAAAGAATAGTAAAAATCTCTATCTTTTAAAGAACCCCTTGCTCTTTTCCTTTGTGGTAAAACAGTGAGATTTTTCCTTGGACCCCTGAGCAGTAGGTGATCCTTGGATATTCTGGGGTGCTCTCCCCCCGGGGCCTGCTGCCCGCGCAGGGGCCATGCCGAGGCCGCTCCCACAGCGTGCTTGAGTTTGGTCTACCAGTGTTGACTTTCCTCTTCCCTTGTCTCCTGGCATGCACAGTTTCATTTCTGAGGAGAAGCTGGAGATAACTGGTTTTTAGAGAAGGCACAGTGTGTTATATAAGCACTTATATGATACTTTGGGTTTAATTCTTTTTAAAAAATCAAAGTTCAAAATATCTCTGATCTTCTGGTTATAAAGAATATTTCATTGTACTTTTGCTTTCCACCACACGTAATAATTTACAGTGGGGCTTTGGCTGGAGTTCCCTGGTACTGCTATAACCACAATATAATTCTGGACAGCTTGTTCACTGTTCCTCATCAACTGAATCTTAAAGGGGAAAAGGAGTTCAGTGGAACAAAACTAAGATACTGATAAAAATGAAAATGAGTTTTGTTAATAAATTTGAAAACCAAAACACATTAATTGGAGCATTCATTCAAGAAGATTGACATCCTGTTCCAAAGCCTATGAAGATAATTTTTGATAAAAATTCAAATTTATTGTTGCATAGTGTGCCTCCTACTGGAATCAAGCCAGCCTTTAAAAGCCAGATCTATTCCTTCTCGTCCCTCTCTCTCTCCTTCTCCCTTTATTTTTCTCTTTCACCCCCACCCAGCCCCAGGATGGCAGTGAAGGTGGGGCAAGAAACACAATGAAGAAAGGGAACAAGAAGAGGAAGTCTATCCTAGATTGTAAGGCCTCAGTGATAGAACTGATTAGTTTTAGTATTGTGAGAGTTAAATGAATCTGTGCATGAAAAGCCCTTCCTCATAATGTTGAGCACATAGTAAGTGGTCAGTAAGTGTTAACTCTGCTCATTACCTTGGTCACCCTTCAGCATCTGGCCCTAAGCTTTTCAACAGTAAGTGCTCAGCTAAAGTTTGGTGACTTCAATTGCATATCCCTGCAATTTGTTTTCTTGCCTTTGTCCTGTAAGTTCATAGAAAAATAGTAACCCTAAGAATAGTTGTTCTAATTAAGTTTTAGTTGTTTTCCCCCAAATGGTCTGAACTTGCCATGTGCTTGATAGGCTACATCCCAGAAACTTGAAACTCAGCATCATTCTAATTAATACCAAATATTTGTCAAGCACCTTCTCGTATTAAAGGCACTATGGACTGACCAGGGCATTTGGAGAGAGTTTGACATCGTCTACCCTGCCCTCAAGGGTGTAAGATGCTTTTAGAAGAGAAGAAATAAATATTTTAAGTTAATAAAAACATAATGCCTAATGCCACATATGTTGTAAAGCCATTAACTTAAATTCAGCATAAACCAAAACGAACATCACTGCCCAGGGTATGTGCCTCATCCAATATTTAGTGAGTATACATTTTACATTGAAGATAAATTTCACAAGAGTAAAACTAATATATTCCTTGCTTAATAGACAACACTTAAACCATTCCATAATGCACAAATATTCTTGGATTTTAATTATACCTAATTTAAACTCTGAATTTTTTAGGGGAGCAAATACTCTTTTAATTATGGAGAGTGTTTTCCTGGTTGTCAATTTTCCCTGGAAGCTCACCATAACATAGGTACAGACTTTTTAATTAAAAAAAAAATATTCAATAAGAAATCATTTGAAAAGATTTGCCAAATCTTTCAGCCAGGTGAGTCAAATTCAGGACTTATAATTAAGTTTAGCTGAAATTAGCAGTATTCAGTCTGTCTGAATAGTTTTATATGTAGCTGGAGGCTTTAGGTTAAAAAATTAATAATTATAAGGCTCTCTCTGGCTATCTCCTTGATGTCTTTGAACACCAGGACCACCTGTTTTTCTGATTTAATTTGTATCCTGCTTGGAACTTTTGAAAGACAAAGGATGCCCAACAGGATGTTACACTAAGGCAGGAGCCTAAAAGCACCATACTGGGCACGGAAGGACAGGGCCACTGGATGTGAGCCCAGGGCGTAACTGAAGGCAGCCATATCACTCACAGGAGGCAGAAGCTTCCCATTGAATGAATGTGATCCGAGCAGGCTTATTCTGGAGTTGTTTGGAACTTGGCAGAGAGACAAAAGCCTTCAGACTTGGAAAGTGAAATGCTCAGTCTGCGGCCACTTGCCACAGGGGTGGAGTTCCCAGCAGACCCCAAGGCAGGCCGGCAGCAGTGAGCAGAAGCTGGGGAGGATAAGCCATCTGCAGACTTCTGGTTTCTGGCGTAGGACAGCCTAAAGGAGAAATTCAGCATTCGTGTGTGTCTGTCAGTGACCAAAGTTAAAGACATGCATTTTTTTTTTCAACTACAGAAGAATATCTTCTGGGAACCCAAATGCCTAACAAGAAAATGTGATTAATT